GGTCTCCACCACCCCGAACGCCTCCTCTAGGCACAGTGGGAACAGCACCGAGGCGATCACCTTCGCCGGGCCGCCGACTCCGTGGGCTGCTCGAGGCTTACGATGCTGCGTCGGGATCAGCACGTAGCACATGTCCAGCTCCGCCAAGGCCTGGGACTCCCCGTTGAGAGCCTCGAGGCCCGCCAAGTCAAGCAACCCTTGGTTGGCCCTCGTCGTCAGGTAGACCTCCGAGGACGGCTCCTGCTCGGCCTCCTGCCAGCTGGGAAAGTTGGCCGAGACGCTGGGGCCCACGTAGCCGTCGAACGTGTACGCCGAGAGGCTCCTGTTCTTCAGGTTGTCGCGGTCCCTGGATTTGTCCGCTGCCGGTGGGTTGGGACACTCGCTGCCCCGGTGCCCCTTCTCCCGACACAGTCGGCAGCGGGTCACCTTCATCAGCTGCTGCTGGGACAGCCTGCCTCGGCCTCCTACTCCACGGCCGCGACCGCGCCCCTTGGCGCCTCCTCGGCCGCCAGCACGAAGACCCAGGCGAGAAGGACGAGGAGGTGGTGGCGCGGCTCGGCCACCTCCTGACCTGCCGCGGAAGTACTCCCGGCCCTTGCGAGCCGCGCGCTTCAAGTCCTTGTTCTGCTTCCAGGACCACTCGTTGGCTAGCAAGTTGAGCGCCTCCTCGACCTCATCCTCGCAGAGGTCCATGTCTTCGATCTCGGCCAGCAGGGCCTCGGTGTCGATGTCACCATCATCGTCGAAGTAGTCGAAGCCCTCGTCCCCGTCGTCGGACTCGAGGATGGGATCACCCGAACCGTCGACCGGACCCGAGGGGTGGAGAAAGGAGGAAGACTGAGAGACGTCGGCACCTACACTAGGAAACGCGTCGAGCCTTAAGTCGTCCTCACGCGCCATCATGGCGCCCGAGCTCGCTCGCCCAGGGAGTAGCCGCTCGGAGCCTGTCGCGTCCATCTGCCGTTGGCATAGTCGAGATGGCCGTGAGTCAGCGTTCTCAGGTTCTGCATGCCATGCGCCGAGAGTCCGGCGCCTTCCTCGAGGAACAGGCCCTTGAGCTTCGAAGACATCCAAAGATCATGGCCCTCAGCTTCTAGCAGTTGAGCCTCTCGCCTTGAGACGTACTGGCTGAAAGACTCCTTACTCTCTCGAGCGGCCTCGAAGAGAGCCTTGCGCCCGGAGCGCCTCAGCTCATCTCCTTCCCGCTCGCCGATCATCAAGTCCATCCTGGCCAGCAGCGTCTCCAGCCACGTGCTCGAGGTCAGCTCGTGGTCCGGGATGTCCTCGAATCGAGCCTGCATGGACCAGTCGAAGAGCTTCATGAAGCGCTCCGAGCGCCTCCACAGCGCGACGTCCGTGTTCGCATTCCAGCGGCGGAGGGCCCTCCGCCACTGGCGGTAGTGAGTCCAGACCGGCCAAGCCGGGGGGTCGGTGTAGTCACCTCGGGAGCCTCCGCCCCACGAGCCCTGCCATGACTGAGATCTCCAGTCGTCGCTCCACCAGCCGCTGGGCCCGCGCCGGCGTCGCCCGTCTTCCCGCTGTCGTCCTGCCAGCCGCCTGCCCAGCTGCGACCTGCACCTCCGGCCTGGACTTGACCGTCTGGTGCTGTCGCCTCGGCCGCCGGCGCCGGCTCCCCGGCCTGGCGGCCGCGACCGCTGCTCCAGGGGTCGCTGCCGGCGGACTGCCAGGGGTCGCCGTCGCCGGACTTGCCGTTCCAGCCGATCCAGCCACTGGCTGGCTCCTTGGTACTCGTCGTACTGCGTCGGGCCTCCGCCGCGGTCATAGTCTCTGACACTACGCTGGCGGCGATGGCCCTGATCTGCTCTAGAGAAATGTTGACCGTGCTGCCCGGCGCCGCGCTTCCCGAAGCGCTCCCACCGCCCGGCAGCTCTCCTGCGGGAGGATCTGCTCCCGCCCGCTCTCCTGTCTGCTCGCCGTTTCCCGTTGTCCCCTGGGACGACATCGCCGTAGATCCCCTCGCACGCTCAGCGTCTGAGCGCGGCCGTGGCGGAGGCACGCGAGCGCCGGCGGAGCCCACCCTTCACGGCTGCTCCCCGACACACATGGCCGCCCGCCTGGACCGCGCTCCGCTACCAACTGTGGCAGCAGGAGGATTGGGCAGATGTTTTTCCCTTGAGCCAACACAGGCGAATCACGGGTACAAACCTGACTCGCACACCATATGCTGAACCTAGACTGACAAATCTGGCATCCCTCCACATCGGGCGACCCAGGAACGCCCTTGGCGAGGCGCAGCTGCACGAGAGACCGTGCTCTCTTCGGCGATGCATGGAAGAGTCGGACCGCCGGAAGGCGTCCCGAGGCTGGAAGATCGCCGAGACGCGAGGAAGACGCGCGAAAACCTCAAGCCTCGAGCCTGTCGGCCCCCCGCTGAGCCCATCCCCCCCCCGATCGGGGACCGAACTCTATACACCGGCACTTTTTTTCCGGCACCGCAATGAAGTTTGCACAGGAAAGCGGAGCCTGGCGTATACGGGATACTGGCGTATACGTGAATCGCGACTTGCCGGAAAACCGAGGGAAGAAATATGCACCACACCATCCCGACGTCGTCCCCGACCCTCAACAAGTTCTGGGATCGAAAACAGCCCGCCACTGGTGATGTATATGCTCCAATTTTGAGTATCGTTTAACCGATCCCCATCCCCAGCGGCGTGGCCTGGGCCCCGCTGGCCGATTTACCCCCCTAGATGGGGATATAGGTCGTTCCCTTCGGGTTTCAAAGGGTGTATCCCCAACTGGGGTGGTAATTTGGTGGGGGTCTCGAAAAGGATGGAGATGCATGGGGATGGGGATCGGATAAACGATACCGAAATTTCCGACCTGACGTTGCCCCTGATTCCTTCTTGGCCCCTGGTGGTGGCGCCAGCGGACCGGCGGCGCGCCGGGGGTGGCGAAGGACAGCCCCGGGCTCACCGGCATTGCCGCCGCCACCTCCGCCAGGGGGGGGAGGAGGAGGAGGAGGAGGAGGAGGAGGAGGAGGAGGAGGAGGAGGAGGAGGAGGAGGAGGAAGAGGAGGCGGAGGGTCCGTAGCCATTTTGGCTCAAGGCCGCGCGGACCGGGCCCAGGCGCGCGCTTCCCAGGAGGCGCCGCGAAGGACGTTAGCCTCTCCATGAAGAACATTGGTTGCGAGACAGCACCCACAGGTCCCGCGTGGAGGTCGCCCGCCGCTGTCAAGACAGCAGTGGGCCGACTCGGATACGCAGCGAGAACCGAGAGGAAGAGGTGCGACCCCGACGACGTCGGCCTGTTGTGGAAGGCCGCATGCGGTCATGCATGGGAGCCCCGCCCGCCTCGCCCATCCCGTTTGCGAAAAGATGCCCCAATTTCCACCCCAGCTGAGGTCACGAAGCGGGAATGCGGTCAGCATGTTCAGACAGCAGTTGTCTTGCCCAATTCCGCATCACAAGCCCAGTCATCAAGAAACGCGGGCAGAGGTAATGGCAGCCATCAGACAGCCATCAGACACCACTCGGTGGCGAGGGAGATAGGAACCCGACGCCATAGTAATTTCTCAAAGGCAGTGTGCGTGTGCGGCACAACGATTTTCTTCTCACTCCCTCTGTCATAAAGTGGGCAGTGGCAGCGGACAGAAGCAACAGTGGCAGCGGTCAGTAGCACTAGCAGTAGCAACAGCGGGGCAGCAGGCAGCGGAGCGGAACCAAGGAAGCAAAAGGGCGAAGACACAAGCCGGAACCAGAGCGTGCGAGAAGCGACAGCAGAAAACGGAGCGGGCGCGAAGCAAGAAGCTGGCGAGTCTGCAGTCCAACGTTACTGGCGAGCCCCTGGAAGTGCCACCCTGAGAGATGTGGGAGGCCAAGCTGGAGCCCGACACTGCTACTCAGCTAGTCAGGAAACGCGAAGCCAGCGCCCGATTCCGACAGCTACAGCAATGGTGGCAACAGCCTTGCGGCCGCGCGGCAGCAGAGGCGGCGGGCAGCGGTGCGAGGATGCGAGTCCAGACGTCATCAGCTGCAGACAAGGGCGCGCGCGTGCGAGAAAAGACGGAAGTGGCAGCGGATAGCAATGCGAGGACGGGCGCCCAGACGGCGTCAGCTACAGGCTGGGACGCGCTCGTGCGAGACGAGACACTGGCCGCGGGCACTAGTGCGGGAACGGGGTCCCACTCGTCATCAGCTACAGGCTGGGACACACGTGTGCGAGAAGAGGCGCTGGCAGTGGGCGGTGACGCGATGTTAGGAGGCCGGACGTCGTCGGCTGCATGCTGGGGCACGCGTGCGCCAGGGGAGACGGCAGTGGTAGTGGGCAGCAGTGCGAGGGTGGGCGACCAGACGTCATCAGCTACAGGTTGGGGCGCGCTCGCGCGAGAAGAAGCGGTGGCAGCGGGTAGTGGAGCGAGGACGGGAGCTCAGACGTCATCAGCCACACGCTGGGACACGCGCGCGCGAGAAGAGAGAGCGGCCGAGGGCAGCGGCGCGAGGCAGGGAGCCCAAACGTCATCTGCTGCGTGCTGGGACAGCCGTTTGCGAGAAGAGGCGGCAGTGGCAGCGGGCAGCAGAGAGAAGACAGAAGCACAGGCGGCATCAGCTGCAGACTGGGACGTGCGTGTGCGAGAAGAGGCAGCGGCCGCGGGAACTGTCGCGAGGATGCGAGTCCAGGCGTCGTCAGCTGCAGACTGGGGGCGCGCTCGTGCGAGAAGAAGCTGGCAGCTCTAGCTGCTCTGGCTGCGGCGAGATGGGCAGAAACCAGACCGCCATCAGCTACACGCGGGGGGGCCTTGCGTGCGAGGAGGGCTGTCAGCGGGGGCTGCCGCATACGGGGCGACTGATGACAGCGCGCCGTCCGTGCTCCGTGCGGATGCGCCCGCCTTCGTCCTCGCAGCTGCGCCTACTTCAGCAGCGGCCGCATCCCCGCGGAGCGCCTTGCGGGGAGGCCGCGCCGCGGCCACGGTCGAGCGCCAGGCTGCGGCCGAGCGTCATGCAGTGGCCGTGGATGCGGCTGAGCGCCAGGCAGCGGCCATGGCGGCCATGGCAGCGGCAACTGCAGACGCATGGGGCGGGTACCCAGACAGCGGCAGATGGCGAACCGTTATCCCTCGCACCGAGGGGCTCATGTACGAGGCGTGCACCATCGACCAGGTGGGGAGGCTCTGCGAGGCGCGGGCGCGGCGGGCCCGCGGAGGAGCGAGCAACTCCGAGAGCGACTCCGGTAGCCGCTCCGACAGCGGCACAGACGGCTCGGAGACGGCTGATCTCCTCGGCGAGCCCGACAGCGACTGCGGGGCATGGGGGCCAGACGGAGAGTACGAGGAGGGCGAGACCGACCCGACAGCGAGCACAGCGGGTGCGAAACCGGTTGAACCGCGCCCAGTACGGGGCGCCCGCCGCTGAAGGGAGCGTTCTGGCCAGGCCGCGTCGCGGACGAGGTGCCGGCCGAAGCGTGCGCCAACAGGCGCGGAGGCGGCTTCATCGCGGGGCTCTTCGGCATCTTCGAGGTGGCCGTCGCGCTGCTCGAGGGCATCAGGGTAGGGAGGGAGGTAGGAGTGAACACCACGGGATTGATCCACATGGCTAGAGCGCAGCAGCAGGAGGAGGAGGAGGAAGACGAGGATGAGGGCGAGGAGGAGGAGATGGAGGAGGAGGAGGAGGAGAAGAAGAAAAACAGGAAGAAGCAGAAGGAGAAGGATAATTAAGTGGACTAAAGTAATCCCAAGATGAATCAACCGATGCTGCAATACACCCTCTCCGTCCCAAGTCCCCTGCTAAATCCATGCAAGTCTTCCGTTCCACTGCGGGCGCCCCCCCTTGAATGACGAGCGGCTGGTCGGTCCGCCAGACAAACGCGGGCGCCTTTTGTAAAGGATCATCCCTCCAATTGAGGGACGCCCAGGTTAGGCCCATTCTGGAGAGCATGTGCCCTCCATCCGTGTAAGCGTTGCAGGACGTCATAATCGTGGACGCATGTCCCGCGGAACTCCCACGCGAGAATCTTTCCAGGAAGCTTGGGGATAGCCCCATTTTCAGAAGCACGTGCCCTCAAACCGTCCAAGCGTTGCAAGATGTCACCATCATGAACATCTTCTCAGAGGAACTCTCACGCGAGAGCCCCGATTCGAAAGAGGAGCTGTGGCACAATGTGGGACGCCGGGTCGTAGAAGTCGGGGAAAGGTCAAATGAATATAGATGGTGGGAATTGTCGTCGAATCCGCGCGAGGCCAAGAGGAGACCCCAATACGGTGGGGGGGCGTTCGTTAGGGAATGACCTAGAAGTGCAGACCCTGGAGGGTCCCTTGTCTGATGAAGGCAGCGGCGACGTCCATGGCCGATCCACGATTGGAATTCCACCAGCTTCCAAACCCTGTATTCCGTTTCGAAGGATTTCTTGTCCAATGCCCCCACCGTCTTGGAAAGGACTCGCCATCCACTCGGGCAGCTGAGGACACTTTGAAAGCCCAGTATGCACGGCGCCAGGTCGAGAGCCCCTTTTTGAAAACGGCCCGCCCTCGATCTGTTCTCTGGTTATAGGGAACGATGGTGCGTGCGGCCCAAAAAAAGCGAGAGCCCCATTGTGAAAACCGGCTGTGGTCCATGCGCAAACGAAAATCTGAACTCATCTGCTCCTTGAGGGCTCCTGCGGCGACGGCGGCGATGAAGATGAGGATGACGATGCTATTGCTGTTGGTGGCGACGGCGAGCCTGCGAACGCTTGAGGGAGGATTGTAATATCTGGGAGCGCCTGGGAGCGTCTTGGAGCGTCTGGGGACGCTTGGGGCAGCATGGGCAGCGTTTGGGTCCAAAATCGGCGTCGGCGAGACATGTCCGAAACTCATCGGTGTTTCTGTATATGGTATCGATGTGTTGGTGTGTTTTGTCTTTTGTGCCCAGGGGATCTTCAGCACAGGGGGGCGGATCGATGTTTAAGATAAGCAGGTGCGTACTGAATGCAGTATTTCGCATGGGATGGTGAGGGTTGGGCCGGATGGATGTGCACCAACTTGTGTTTGTTGCATCGGATGGAGCACCGAATGGTATGTGTTGCATGGGATGGTGAGTGTTAGATCGGATGGATGTGCACCGAATATGTTTGTTCCAACCCTCTGGTGCAAGATTTTCGTTGTGAAAAGATCACCGCGGTCTCCACTCCTCCTTTCCTCCTCCTCCCTCCTCCTGCGCTGATCCCTGGATGGTTGATAAAACCTTCGTAAGCTCCTGGGGGGTCAAGCGGAGTCGGGGGGGGCACGCGCACCCAGACGAGACCTCGCTGCTCCCTGGGTGTCTGCGAACTGCGCAACTTTCACTACGTTCGCGGGCTCCTAGGAGGTCAAGCGGAGTGGGGGGGCACGCGCACCCAGACGAGACATCGCTGCTCCCTGGGTGGCTGCGAACTACGCAACTGCCACCGCTTTCGTGGACTTCTGGGAGGTCCAGCAAAGTCGGGGAGGCACGCGCACCCAGACGAGACCTCGCTGCTCCCTGGGTGGCTGCGACCTGCGGAACTGTGACCACTTTCGTGGGCTCCTGGAAGATCCAGCGGAGTGGGGGGGCACGCGCACCCAGACGAGACCTCGCTGCTCCCACCCCGTCGCTGCCTCGCCGCTGGGACAAGGACTGCGTCACATTGAATGCACAACATAGGCTGCACCACGTAGACTGCACAACATAGGTTGCACCACGTGGTCTGCACCACATATGCTGCACAACATTGGTTGCACCACATATGATGCTCCACCTATATTACATTACATGTTGCGCACCACATCGATTGAACAATATAGATGGCGCCACATAGATTGCACAACAAGGAATACACCACAGAGATTGCACAACATACACTGCACAACCACAAATGTTGAGCCACATGGATTGCACAAACATAGATTGCACCACATAGAGTGCACTATATAGATTGCACCACATCGATTGCACAACACAGGTTGCACTACATATATTGCTAGAAATACACTGTTTGGGGCCCACGTTGGCTAACATGTTTAAGACGAATGTGCGCGACGCTAAAGCGAGTGAGACATTTCGAAAACCACCCGGGCTCCATCCCTGAAACTGTTGCAAGTTGTTTCAGACGAGTGCGAACGACCCTAAGGCGAGAGCCACACTTTGACAACCAAGCAGGCTTCATCCTGGAAGCCGTTGCAAAGTTTAAACTTCGGGATCGTAATGGACGAAGAAATCTCAGGCGAAACGCCCGGCCCAGCCTACGGACGCAGCTGGTGGCGCAACTGGGAGAAATCATCTGTGAGGGGAAGGAATGGAAGAGGAGGAGGAGGAGGAGGAGAAGGAGGAGGAGGCGGAGGAGGAGGAGGGAGGGGTAGGGAGGGAAGAAGGAGGAGGCTCGCCTTTTGGAGGCTCCTGGAGGCTCTCCGTAGGCCCCCAGGCGCCCGAAGGTTCATGAACACTCCGATCAGGTTCGCCCTTGAAAGCCCGCAACCCCTGGAGGCCCAGGAGGCCCTGGGGCAAGCGGATGCGCTCAGTGGGTGGCTCAATCAGAAAAAACACCACGCGTGAAGACGAAGCCTGCAGAGACTGCTCGGGAGCGCCTGGAGGTCATGATCTACCTGCCCCGCACACGAGGGAGCGGGCAGTGCCTCGTCGCGAGGCGTCTTGGATGGAATCGGTGTGCGTGACCCACTCAGCGGTCGATTTCGGAAATCCTGGACCCAAAAATCGTGTCATCTCTTTCGTGTCATCTCTTTGCGTACTGGGCGGGAAGATACAACATGTGGTGTGCAGAATGAACAACATAATGCAATAGCACACAATGTGGCGCCATCTCTTTGGGGCGCATCTAATTGATTTCCGCCGGCTTCCGCTAGCTTTGCGCTGGCGGCGGCGGCGGCCTCGCTTTACTTCCGCCGCCCTCCGCTGGCTTTCCGCCACCTTCAGCCGAGGAGGAGGCGTCAACTCCTTCGAGCCCTCGGAGAAGCCCTTCTCTGGAGCGCCCCAAGAATGCACCGAGCCACAACTGGGCGCACGCCTGCCTCCTCTCTCGGTGTTCCCGGTGGCGCGCACCCAATAGCTGGCGCGAGGGGGGCGGTCGTCTAAGAAGCCTGGAAGGCTCCTAAGGAGGCGGGCGGCTTCGCGGGAGCCCTCCCAGCCTCTGAGAAGTCGTCCGAAGTGGCTCTCGGGGACTTTTTTTTTGGACGAGGAGGAGGACGAGGAGGAGGAGGACAAGGAGAGTTTGATCCCTGACTGCACGCACAAATTGAAGCAGAGGTTGCGTCGGCGAGGCGCCGAATCCCACAAAGGCCTCTGCTTGAACTCTGCCACGTATACGTTGGCACGCCAGGACACGCTCTCCGGGACCCTCTGCGAAGGCTCGTGTCCCCTGTTAAGCTCCCCGCCCTCTCGGGAGCCCCTCCCCCGCGCCATCTACCTGTGCGCGCCGCCGAAAAATTCGGGAAACGAAAAGGGGCGAAACACCAGGCTACGAAGCTTCCCAAAAAGTCCCCCAAGAGGCTCCCCAACAGAGCCCAATAGGCTCCCAAGAGAGCCCCAAGAAGGGCTCCAAAGCGTCAGCGTCGTCGTCGCCGCCGCCGCAACCGCCGCCGCCGCCGCCGTCGTCGTCGTCGTCGTCGTCGTCCCGTTTCCAGGTTGGCGGCGCCGGCCGTAAGGCCTTCCCAATACCAGGATGCGTTCGGGAGCTCCGGACGCCCATGTACTATGTTCAATGGACACATGATAACAAAAAATCCCGCGCCCTGATGTCTCTGAAGGAACTGGCTGGACCACCTCGCGCGCTGCATTTCCGAGCCCAGAGATGCGGGAACGCCGGCAGAATGCGAAAATGCGTCAAGCCAAACTGACCAGACCACCACAGTTCAGGGCATCTCCGAACCCAGAGTTGCGAGGACGTTTCTGGCGAAACTGGCCAGGCCACCCCCGATTTTGGCGGATGCCTCTGAGCGCTGACCCCTTGGCCAGAACTAATTCCTACTGCAAGAGCCTGTTTTTGTATTATCCGCGATAACGGGCGTTATCGGGGGGGGGCCCGCTCCGATCACATCACGGCGGGCTTCGGTATCCCGGGGCCATTTTCGAGCCCCTGGGCCCTCGGGAGGAGGAAGATAAGGAAAAGGGAGAAGGAACAGATGAGGAAGAGGGGAGTGGGGAGGAACTCCTGGGAACACCTGGAGATTATGCTGCTGCTGCTGCTGCTCCTTCTCCTCCTCCTCCTCCTCCTCCTCCTCCTTCTCCTCCTCCTCCTCCAGTCTTTCTTCTGAAAATCGGGGTAAGATGTCAAAGGAATTAGGGTCTCATGTTGACTATGCTCAGTGGTGGAGGATACGGGATGAGACATCGATGCAACTGCATGTTATCCGTTAAGCAACTGTACTCAAATATAGGAAGTGAGGAGGCCGGCCAGGGACGGACGACGACACGGGCCGCCCACGCGCCCCCCGGCGCGCTCCTTTTCACACTCGAGCAGTATGATACAGCTTCGGTATGCAATGATACCAATGTCAAGGTATGGCAAGGCAGGCAGCAGGAGAGGCAAGTGTATAATGAG